TGATATTGATGTCCTAGAAATATGTAGACATGAGTACAAGTCACATGATGTTGCCGGCTGCACAGTATATGAGCGGATTTCCCAACATGATTTTACCCAAGTGACAGAGGATCCGGGGTACCTACGATTTATCGTCCTGGTCTGAGAGACGTCCTTATCTTTATCTGCGAAAGTCTAATAACCATTTACGACCCATTTACTGATGTCAATGTAGTAAAGGTAGCACTAGTAACCTAACATTTCCCCTTAGTTACTTTAAGACCTTGAGTATAGAGGTCCAACCAAGGATTGATGACCATGCATTTGGTTTGCATTTGGCCCATTGTAATACAGTATATAAACCAATCTATATGAACAGGTTTATGTAATTATGATTAGTTAATTGTAACAATGAAACACAGTAAAACAAAAACAATAAATTTTCTAAGCCTAAGGAATGAATTTTATTATATAAACATAAATGTTATTGGCCACTGAGAAAAATCGTATTTAAACACACGTAAAAAATACGATATTTTTACGTGTGAAAATATCATTTGTTGTAAAACGCATTGCCACGGACGTTTTATTGTTTTTCACTGAATTTTGTTTATATAATAAACAGAAAAATACATGGGTGCTTGGAAATACCAGATTTATTTCTCGTGTTGAACATGATATCTCACTCGTTGAGTCTCGTTCGCTGCGCTTACTCGTGAGATATCATGTTCAACGCTCGAAATAAATCTGGTATTTCCGCGCACCCATGTATTATTCTCTCTATATATGCTGATCACTTTTCTTTCAATAAATTAATAAGGTCCTTAATATCAGGTTTGTGTATGTTACTTAAAAAACTCATTAATAATTCATGATAAAATACAAAAGAAATGAATGTTATAACGTTTAATTAATGTTTGTAAATCGGATAAAGAATTGTCCTAATTTACATAAACTTTAGACTCGACCAGCCGGTGGTTAAACTTCAGCTTTGATTTTCTCGGCTTAGACAATGTATATATTTTAAATTTCTTAATGAATTCATAAGATGGGTCGATTTTTATCTGTTATACAAACTCTCGCCTTCGGCTCGAGTCTGCATGTATATCAGATAAAGATCGGCTGCTCATGTTTTAACTGGCACCTGAAAGTTTTAAAGTTGTGATATACATTAATTTTTCTGCATAAAATCAAATCTTATAGATGATGTTTCTTATCATTGTGTTGTTTGGTATTTTTACGGCTTCATCACTTGGCCAAAGAGGTAAGACTACCTAACTCGGAAAACTATAGTTTTTTTTTTGTAAAACTTAAGACGGTCAAGATGCACGCGCAACTCTCCCGCAAACGTAGCCTGAAACAGCCGCATATTTCTGTCAGTGGTGACAGAAATATGCGGTTGTTTCAGGCTACCGCAAACGTGGCTCAGGTCGGCATTTTGAAAATCCCTTAGAAAATCGAAAACTAATTAGCAATAGCTCCGTACAAAATTGTAAAAATTGGAAACGTTATTATATTATTAATACATTATTTGGAAACTTTAGAAATTGGAATTTATCGAAAACCTTAACACAATCTCCAACGTAACACAAATAAAGTTTGCAGACCGAATTAAAAAAATTGATATTGATCGGATAAATGCAAAACTAAGATATAACAGAAATTCAAATGCACAATTTGTAGCCGTAACGAGATTAAAACCGATACATAAATTGTGAACTGCATGTAGACTGATAAAAAGTTGTTCGATTAAAACTGACAGACAACAAATAAAACAGTACTATTCCTGACTCTTCCACAGTCCCTCGGCCTCGTTACATTTTAGTGCGGGAGAATATGCCCATTCGCGGGTTAGGCGTTGAGAGAAACCTAACCACTGAACCTAACCCATTCCCATCATCCAACGCGAGCGACTGGGGACGAGTCAGGTACTATGCCACGCTCGGTTTACGTACAGATAACAAACTGTCAAACTACAGGAAATGAAGTCAAATTAGTGACGTACGTCCCACCACGTGATCTTCGCACATGCTCGATAGAAAGTTGTTCGTTTGCTCACAATGGTTTCTCCTCAGCTCCGAAACCACTGCCAGCAGGGTATAGAAGAACTGGCAAAAAATACCAATGTATTCCTTCTTTTCCACTAAAAACCATTCGCAATTATCTTATTAATAACAAATTAAATTATAATTTTCAAATTTTCAATTAGTTTTGCTGTTTTGTTCAGTTAAAACGCGTGCGTTTATTTTTACGTAAGGCCAAATAAATAAAAATACTTGGTTAGCGTCACACTCTCGCAAATTTTCAGAGGCGGGAGGGCGTTTTTTTACTCGTTTTATAAATTATTTAATAGTATTTTTTGGGGGGATGGGGGCGGTTTTTCCGCCATATCAGTGATATTTTTTGTACTGATGTTGCGAAGGCCGCCATTTTGATATAAGAACCTTGTACTCAAGCCCACGCGCTCCTATCGATCAGTATATAGCGCGAAGGTCTGAGCATGAGAAAAATTTCAAATATTAAACTCATTCTCGTACCCAGAGCCCTTCTTACGCTCGGTTAGCGACGAGGGGCTCTAGCAAAATCCAAACCGGACCATGAATTTTAACCGGACCATGATGAATTATTCATACTTTTGACACTTGTATACTGAATACTAGAAATAGTTTACACTAAAACTATACAATCTTGGACAAAAGCCTTGAGACCATTCCAGCTAATATTACAAAGTAATTGAACATTGACAAAACAAACTTTGTCTCCTCCTCCCTCCGAGACCGGCTAAACGGAGAGTTATGAAGTGGAGAGTTATCTCGGAGAGTTATGATTTCGGAGAGTTATGTTCGAACCACGCCCACTTTTCCCAACGACCACACCCAATTTCTTAACTCTCCCGATGTTTCCTTGAACTAACATGAGAGAGTTATGTTTGACGTAACTCTCTCTCGTTAACATTATGAAGATGTTAGAGAGTTATCATTTTTTATAACTCACTGCGTTCACGATTGTGGCAATGAAGAGAGTTATGTCAGTTTTTTGAAAAAAAGTTCCACATTTTAGTAAATTATTGTGAATTTACTTTTTTCTCAAGTTTCAGCTTTAATATTCCACGCTAGTAGAAACTAGTAGTACTTTAGTGTTTATCAAGTGAAACAAGTACAAGTAAATAAATTATTATACATGTTCACTTGGATTACCTACAAAGCCCAACATTCAGATACAGCTCTCGTATTAGATAGAACCAGAAAACCTTTCCAATGTAATGCCCTATATTGGCTGATATGGGAAAATATTTGCAAAACCTGAATTTCTGAAAGATTCAATTTTCGCAATTTTTTCAATTTTCTTGCAACTATGCTTACCGTATTTACTGCCAAATACACGTCAAAACATGCTTCTGGGGTTACTTTGACCCTTCTGCGGCAAGCATCTCATTGTTTTGACCGAGTCAAGTTGTGCTATTTCCTGTTTGGATGCATGCTATTGACACGCTACAAACTGAAATACCAAAATATAAGATGAAAATCTGACATAACTCTCTTCATTGCCACAATCGTGAACGCGGAGAGTTATAAAAAATGATAACTCTCTAACATTTTCATAATGTTAACGAGAGAGAGTTACGTCAAAAATAACTCTCTCATGTTACTTCAAGGAAACGTCGGGAGAGTTACGAAATTGGGTGTGGTCATTGGGGAAAGTGGGCGTGGTTTGGGCGTGGTTCGACCATAACTCTCCGAAATCATAACTCTCCGAGATAACTCTCCGGTTGGTAACTCTCCCTTTAGTCATACCCCCTCCCTCCCAGTTCAATGTTGTGAACAACGCCGAAACAACTTTTGGTAATATACCATGATACAAGCTCAACATTGAGTTGGGGGAGCGGGGGTTTAAGAATGGCAACATGATTCAACATGGAGTTTATCATAAAAATACCGAATTTTCTATAGGGGGAAAATAGTCTCAACCAGTTATGTCCAAGATTGTAGCTGTTATTAAAAATGCTCATGCCTTATGGTAATTTACAAATATTAATATGACAAAATGTTATTACTACTTTCTGGCTTTCTTTCAAAACGCTTAGAAGCTTAGAAGGTTGATAAAATTGGATGAACTTTAAAAGTGAAACAGTAACCACGTGTAACTTGATCCTTGTGTGTTTATCAGGCTGAAGGAATATCGCTTTTCAATATAATGGAACAATGCCTATAAGTCCCTTGTTACAAACGTTTTAATAATGTGACCGTTGTGTGTTGAGCATTGCTCGATTTCTTGTTTCTGACTGACTGATGTGTGAACCAAGTCTCTATAACAAAACACTTATTTACTGAGTGGAAAGCAGTGTGTTTTAATTTGTCACCCCTCGACCGACGTTGTTGCGCTCTGCTTCGTCTCGGCCAAGGTCGGGCAACAACGGCGGTCTCGGGTCCACAAACAACATTGTTTCCCTCGGTCTCAGTAAATAAGTGATAATTGTTATCTGGTCAAGCAGTAAAAACTAAGGAAAGGTGAAAGTAGACTTCCCTTTCTAGCCCAGCGGTATTAATTTTGAGCTGAACAGGAAGCTGTTCTTTATACCGGACGGAATTCAGGGCTGTAGCTACAATCGCGTGCAAAAATAATGAGATAATTTTTGCTCTTGGTTGTGACGGTTGTCTCTATTTGTACTTTTGAATGAAACGTAATTCGTTCATGTTGATTCAACTTATTGCTCCAGGGAAGACGCTGACTTGGATTTCTTGCTCAATGAACCTTTTGCTACACGGGTAAAAATTGATCATGTTGTTCGGCGTTGTTCAAAACAGGAGCGAACAATGTTGTGCTGCACCCCGTGAACAATATTGTTAACAAGTTGTTCAACCATCAGTACTGTTGCAACTTGTTAACATGATTGTCAACAAGTTGCAACAATATTGATGGTTCAACAACTTGTTAACAATATTGTTCACGGGGTGCAGCACAACATTGTTCGCTCCTGTTTTGAACAACTTACATCAACATGATGATTTTTACGTGTGTTTTACACGCGTAAAAATTGAGAAAATCAACAACCTGTTGCAAGTTGATATCGACAGGCGTGAACAAGGTTGTGCGGCCCACTATGAACAGTATTGTCAACATGTTGTTGCAGCATTGTTCAACTGTAACAACTTGGAACAACATGGTTGACAACTTGTTCATAGTTGGCCGCACAACATTGTTAACGCCTGTCGATATCAACTTGCAACAACCTGTGCGTTTTTAGCCGTGTATATAATATTTTTTCTCAGCGGTTTTCTATAATCGAGTACTTCATGTAAAAAGAATATAAGGGATCGTGAGAACTATAGTTATTTTTTGTTAGGAAAGGACGATTAATTGATGAATATATACATTGAAGAAGATTATAAAATAATGAATAAATTTCAGACAATTGTTTTCCCTTGGCCGACAATCATGAGTGTATTTTTTCTCTCAAACAGAATATTTCCCTTAAGTTCAAGAATTTTATAACAGACAACGCATCGTTCTGACATACATGCAATTTTGGAAAAATTTCAATGATTTTCCTACTTTTAGCTGAATTGTTACGTAAGATTGACATACTCACTAGATTTTAAAACCAATTCAAGCTTTTTATTTATGTTGATATATGGACTTACCGATCGTAAACTCTTGCACTAGAATTTATTGCAAACCTCCATCTCCTATGATTTTGGGATTATGTGAGATGAGCTCAAGCAAATCTGGTCGCACATGCGCAAAATATCAAGACACGTTACACACACGTTACATAATAATTCGTAGTAAAACATATAGAGATATGACACGTTACACCCATTGTTTTTAAAAATAAATAATATATATTTATTCTTAAAAACAATGGGTGTAACGTGTGTGACGTGTCATATTTCTATATATTTTACTATAGATTATTATGTAAAGTAGGTGTAACGTGTAGTGTAACGTGTGTGTAACGTGTGTGTAACGTGTCAGCGTTTGCTTAATGAAGCCAAGTGCATAAAATTTACATGAACTAATCACTTTAGATTAGTTGGTGAACATCCCACAAGCACAACAGCACATACTGCAGTATAAATGACAAATTTTTCTTATTTTTCGGCATATGTCTAAGCTGGGGGAACTGTCATATAACGACTCCCTCCTCAGGAAATGATGACTATTAGGGAGTGGTCATTATTTATGGGGAGGGGGGGTTGGGAAATGGGAAGGGGGGGGAGCAAACGAAGTTTTACCCTTATAAATAGGGGGGTCAAAAAAGTTTTAACACAGAGAAAGGGGGGGGGTCATAAAAGTTTTTGATTTCTATAATCACAAATAGCAAAAAAGAAGACTCTGAAAATGCTATTTCCAACGATCTAGAGACTCAAAATGTTCAAAATTTCCCTGCTCGGCGCCAACCATGGTGGCGCCTCGCGACCGTTGAACCCACTAAGTTTAACAAGCTTTCTACCCCCTGAGTGACCCAGTTGTGGTATTTACATAAACATACCATGCAAGTACACTTAACTGATCAGATTCGGTCTATCAACGCACAATGTAACGCTGTATATCCAAAAATCTGTTTCAGAAAATGCTCAGAGGAAAATGCTCACATTTCAATTCTAGGGGTGGAAAAATAAAAAAACATTTTCTGGGGGAGAATCCCCCCAGACCCCCCTACTAGTACATACGATACCACACCAAACTTTTTGTCACCAACAACCATCTGTCATCTCTCCACACTCAATATAGTATGGTCCCTTTTTGTAGATGCCCACCCCCCAGACAAGTTCTTAAAAAAAACCTGTGTTCAAATCATTTCGCTGTATGAAGACGGGTCATGGGTTAGGGTTATGGTAGGACAAATGTTGCATTGCAAAGTAGTAACACATAATATATATTTTTAATCATATATGGTTGAATCATATTCACCAGGGTAAAACATCATGAGCTAGATTAAACAGATTGTCCTAATATCTAACTTTACCTGCAACGCACACCTGTTTCATTGCTGTTAATTTTTCAATCCACACTGGGGGGGGGGTCAGAAAAGTTTCTACTTTTATGAGGGGGGAGGCACAAAAAGTTTGCCTTCAGTCTGGAGGGGGGGTCAAAAAAGTTTTCAATCCTTATTTTCCCCATTTCCCAACCCCCCCTCCCCATAAATAATGACCACTCCCTAATTGAGCTTAAAAGGACGAAAGAGTAGTTAAAACACTACATTAGATTTTTATGGCTTGTTGGATGTGTCTTACTATATCGTAAAGTATTTTAATTGATCGTATTTAGCCTACAGCTTGTCTATTTTCCCAAAGATTTTTCTCTAGTAAGTAAATGATAGTAAAAAAATTAAATTCGTTAGAAAAGCTTTTTATTCTTACCCAGTCCCCCGCGCAGCCTCCTTGCAGAATTTCTACATTTTGGAGGACAAAAAACTTTCTGTTAATTGATTGAAATATGTCAATTTCATGTCAACTTGATCGCTAGAGTTTGGCAAAAGTTTAAATTTTGGACAGCTAACCCCCAGACAGCTCCATCTCAGACGGTCTCTATTTTTACTTTTGAATGGAACGTAATTCGTTCATGTTGATTCAACTTATTGCTCCAGGGAAGACGCTGACTTGGATTTTTTGCTCAATGAACCTTTTGCTACACGGCAGAAAACGCCGAGCCCGTTGCTCAACAGGACTGAACAATGTTTTGCTGCCCACGTTGTTCACACTTGTCAACAATATTGAACAATGTTGTTGAGCCTGAATCGGGTGTAACAATATTGTTCAATATTGTTGACAGCTATGAACAATGTGGGCAGCAAAACATTGTTCAATCCTGTTTTCATCAGTATTGCATCAACTTGAGCGTTTTTACGTGTGTATATAATATTTTTTCTCAGCGGTTTTCTATAATCGAGTACTTCATGTAAAAAGAATATAAGGGATAATGAGAACTATAGTTATTTTTTGTTAGGAAAGGACGATTAATTGATGAATATATACATTGGAAGAAGATTATAAAATAATGAATAAATTTCAGACAATTTTTTTCCCATGGCTGACAATCATGAGTATATTTTTTTCTTTCAAACAGAATTATTTCCCTTAAGTTCAAGAATTTTATAACAGACAACGCATCGTTCTGACCTACTTACATACAATTTTGGAAAAATTTCAATGATTTTGCTACTTTTAGCTGAATTGTTACGTAAGATTTACATACTCACTAGATTTAAAACCAATTCAAGCTTTTTATTTATGTTGATATATGGACTTACCGATCGTAAACTCTTGCACTAGAATTTATTGCAAACTTCCATCTCCTATGATTTTGAGAATATGTGAGATGAGCTCAAGCAAATCTTGTCGCACATGCGCAAAATATCAAGACACGTTACACACAACATTGAATTGGGTGTGAGGGGGGCATTTATGCCGTTGTCTCAATAATTTTTGCTCCTGATTGTAGAGGGAGAAATGTAGGGTGTGACACCCCCTAAAAACAACTTTTCGGCAAAATAACGGATTTGTAGTGAGCGAAAATATTTGAGTGGCTCGACTTAAAAAGTATTAGTTATGGCAAAAATTTTGAAACATTTACGAAAACATTACCAAAAAGATTAACAAATAAATTACAGATGTCCGGAAAAATGGCATGTCCGGAAAACAATTTTGGGAAAAGAAATATTGTCTGCAAATGCAATAATATACCACTCCTTGCTTTAGCCTCTTCGCGACAGCCCTGTTGGAATTAATTGGCTGCTGGGAATTTCGTGATGGCTATATAACGAGTTTCGAAATTAAAGATCTCCCTGTTAACATGATCAATGCCAGTCAATGTATGGGACAGAATTTATAAATTTATAAACGTAGCGTGGTAATCTGGTAAACACACGATCGATTTATTCTTAAGGCACTTGTTGATCTCTAACCAACATGAGGGTCAGCTGTATGTTTTAATCCTTTATACGTAAAACGTGAAATGGCTTTTTTTCTTCACATGAAATGTGATCCCAATCCCCCGTTTACTACCCTCTTCCCAGTCTGCAGACACTTTATTCAATCGCCTTCACTGAAATCTTACATTATTGGTTATTATAGATTTCCTGTATGGTAAATTGGTAAAAACCATGACGTTTTAATATTTACCATTAATGGTATTTTTTTTGTAGATATTAAACATCATGGTTTTTACTTACCATGTGGAAAATCTTTAATGGCAAGAGTTCAGTTTTTACATTTAAAACTGAATCCATTAATGGATTTTTTCCTATGTGGCATGCATGCTGTCCGGCCGATCAAACGAGGATGATAAGAGTTGAGAAGAGTTGCAACTGAAATTTTTATAAATAATTTTGCTGCACGAGCAGTAACGCATCTTAGGAAGCTGCTCTCCTACAGCTAAAGCTAGAGCCTATCTCAGTCTAGTCCGCCCTAAGCTTGAATACGCTAGTTGCAGGGCCCGTGGAAGCTCTTTTCGATTGGGGAAATTTTTAAATTTACACTATCTGAAATGCCATTTCCTGGACTTTGGGGAAGATTTGACAGAATTCTGATAATCAGAAAACAGCGTTTTAGTATGTCGAAATTTACAATTTAGTATACTAAATGGGCGAAGGCGTATTTAATTAACCATATATTGAATAAGTTGCAGGAAAGTATGGGTAATATCTTCATTCTTTGCAGTTTGTCACGGATTAAATGATAAAGGTCTGCAGGATTTTGAAAAAAGAATGATTATTAGCAAATTATTGGGGGGGGGGGAGCTGCAGCCCATCAGCCCCCCCGGTTGCTACGGCCCTGAGTTGCGTTTGGAACTCTCATACTAAACGGAATTCTGAGAAGATTGCAATGATTCAACATCGCTCCACAAGATTTGTTAACAACGACTTTTCTAGATACAGCCATGTTTCCCCATGCAATGATCAACAATTTAGGATGAGACATGCACTTGAACGGCGTAGACTGCTTAACCAGTCGTGTATGTTCTATAAGATCCACCAAGGCTGCGTTGATTTAAACTCCGCCCCCCCCCCCTGAAGTGTGCCCTATAAAAAGAAAAACCCGACTTCCAAATCATCATCCCTTTCAGCAAGTTTCTTGTAACAATGATGTTTTCAAATTTTCATTTTTCCCACGAACTATTATAACCTGGAACAATCTCCCGTTTATCGAATTGCCTGCGAATATCAACGCTTTTAAAAGTGCTGCATTCATTGCATTAAGGGAATCAGTATAATTTTGGCAGGACACTTTTACCTTTTAAAGTTTTTCATAGAGCCTATATAGTTCATAGTTATTTTGTTAATGCATATATACATATATAAGTATTTCCTAGTATAGTGTAAGCTGATTTAGGAGTATCAGATTAAAGATTAAAGAATAAACTCTCATCAATTCTCATGCAACTCTTGTTCTCATTTGAGCATGAGATCTAGAAAACACTTCTGCAAACTCTCGCTCGCTCTGATCCACTCTCATTCTCGTTTGACCAAGGCTTTAGTTAGGTTGCAATGATAAAGCAATTTATTCTCTTTTACAGATTCGAGTACATTTATTGAGAGTCCTGAAGATAAAGAGGTTGTCGGAGTTGGCAGACTGAACCTCACTTGGAGGTTCAAATACACAGGAGTGGTGCCGACCATCCTTTTGCTTACTGATCCTAAAATTGAACAAAAAACATTTTTAAAAGACATTAAGTCACAATCAGGAAAAATCGTGCTGAGAATCAACAAGTTTCCTAACAGTGAGAAAATAATAATAGAGCTGTACCTGATACAAACTGGAAGTGGCCACACAACAATTAAGTCATCCAGTTTTACTTTGTACATCATGACAGGTAATTGAAATTTGAATGAAACTGTTTTAGTAACTTTAATTTTTGCCCTGCATGGTTCATGCAGTTTTAACGAATTTTGACGAGGAGGCACGTGCTCAAAGCTAACGAGTATATTGACAGAGAATATATCTGTAAATAATGCTAAAATGAAAAGATTCTACACACGTAAAAACGCACAAGTTGTCACACGTCTGCGAACAAGTCGTCACAAATTTGTTCACAAGCTGTCGACGAGTTGTGTTTGCACTGCTTGTTCCCAGTTGTTGTAACAAGTTTGGAATAAACTGTTAACAACTTGTAACAAGCTTGATGTCATTATCAGACTTGTTACAAGGTTGTTCTAACAAGTCTGGCACAGTCATTATATATATAACAAGAATGTTACAAGGTTGTTCTAACAAGTCTGACACAGTCATTATATATATAACAAGAATGTTACAAGGTTGGCGACACAAGGTTGTAACAATATTGTTATATCATGACTGTATCGGACTTGTTGGAACAACCTTGCAACAAGTCTGATAATATCAACAAGGTTGCTTGTGATCAGGTTACTCTGAGTGTATATCCACACCGGGCAAGCTTTAAAAATATGCCTGACCACGTTGGGAATCGAACCTACGACCTTTGGAATACTAGCCCGCCAATGCTCTACCAACTGAGCTACGCGGTCTGGTCGGTTCGAGTATGTGATATTTCGGAACAGAATCTAGTTCCTTCGATATCAATGTAATCTTGTAATAATGATATTTTCTGTGTTGGCAGAGCATTGGGCTAGTATTCCAAAGGTCGTAGGTTCGATTCCCACCGTGGTCAGGCATATTTTTCAAGCTTGACCGGTGTGGATATACACTCAGAGTAACATCACAAGCATCTTATTCACCTGAGTACATTGCACCAACACAGAAAATATCATTATAGCCTAATATCATTATTACTAGATTACATTGATATCGAAGGAACTAGATTCTGTTCCGAAATACTCGAACCGACCAGACCGCGTAGCTCAGTTGGTAGAGCATTGGGCTAGCATTTCAAAGGTCGTAGGTTCGATTCCCACCGTGGTCAGGCATATTTTTCAAGTTTGCCCGGTGTGGATATACACTCAGAGTAACATTATTCACCTGAGTAACTTATTCACCTGAGTACATTGCACCAACACAGAAAATATCATCAACAAGGTTGTTACAAGTTGTTAACAGCTTGTTCCAAACTTGTTGACAACTTGTTGGCAGACTTGCTACAAGATGTCATGAGACGTTTGCGTGTGTAGATGGGACACCAAAGAGAAAATGCATGTCTGCGGTTCAGTAAGTTTTGATTATATTGCCGTAAATATCATATGGCATCAATTTTACTAAGCATCATTGATAAATTATTTATGGTTTGATTAAAAATACAATTTGGTTAAACGAGAAAATAAAGCGCGGTACGCTAAAAGGATCTCAGGTTTTGAGCGCTTTAAGTTCATCGCAAATTAGAATCATCGCATATGAATTCTAATTCTTCTTTAAATTTTTTGTCTACCTCCAAAATAGGTACAGCTTATAAAATTTAGATTTCACTCCATTCAATAATAGTTTGAAGAAAGAGTCTTGTAGATGGAAATTGCCGCGCGTTTAACTTTCAGGGAATATTCATAGGCGTACGGGATAGAAAAATCAGGGCGGGGGGTAGAAAGAAATTTGCCCGACTTTTCTCCATTGTGCCCGACATACTGAAAAAAATTCTGTGTAAACTTTCCAAAATTGTTGTCCACGGGGGGAGGGGTCCAACCACATTATTTTTACATATTCCTGGTATTTTCAAATACTACATTGTATATGTCGTCTTTTTGAAGTTTTTTTTGCCCGAATTGCGTTTATAGTTTGCCCCCGCCCTGTACGCCTATGGGAATATGGTGATCGCTAGATAGTATACTTCAAAATAAGGTTTCCGTTTTTATAACATAGAAAAAACTATCCTAACTCAAAACTAAACCCTAACCCTAATACTATCCCTCACCCTAACCTTAACCTAACCCTAACCTAAACCCTAACCTAACCCTAACTTATTTTAAAAATTGATATAAAAACGGAGACCTTATTTTGAAGTATACTATCTAGCAATTGCCATGGGAATATTTAGGGAATAAAGATAACGATTAAACAAAACAATGCTCATTTACCTAGCATATTACAGCGTCCATGCAGGTACTTGAGTTCTACGGGGAATCCGAAGAATTCAAATTTAAAATTTCCCCAGGAAAATATTTAGACAGTTTTCACAGTATACATATACGCGATGTGGCGTTCCCAATTGGTCTTTGTATGAATTGAGGTCAAGGGTTTATCAACAACTAAACACCTCACTGTAACACCAATGCCCTTGTCTTTGACTTGTTTCACAATATGCAATAGATTCCGTAGTGCAGTGACCAGCGCATGACATGCATCATATTTTATCAATGCGGTATTACTGTTTGTGACGATTAGTTTTTGCTCTTGCCTGGCCTATATGGCCACATAAGTCTTAAAATTAGAAAAAAGGTCTTCCAGGCGGGGGGAGGGGAGAGGAAAGCAGTGTACTCCATTAGAAATTTTCCCTTTCTTCCCCTGTTCCCTAGAGAGAAATCATCACGCTCTAGCTCTTGTTAACTCACATGCAGCGAGGTAGAATATGTGTTGACCGTGGAAGTTGCCGGCGTAAAGGAGGGGACAAATTTTTTTTGAAACATTTAATTAAAAATCAAGATTTTGTTGGCATCTCACTCGATTGGAATAATAGTTGAAGGGTCTTGTAGATGGAAATTATTGAGTGAAATTTATATACATTTATTAGACCTAACCAGGAACAGTTGCGAAAAATACAACTTTACGTCCCTGGCAGAAATCGAACATGCGGCCCTGTGGTTCCGATGCAGCGCTCTAACCAACTGACCTATACAGAGGCCAGCTGACGAGCTCCAACCACACTTTCATGCATAATGACTGCCATGTTTAGGTTATGCATGGGTATAAATATCGAGATCTTGTTGGCATCTCACTCGATTCAATTGAGGTTAGGTCTAATAAATGTATACAAATTTCCACTCCATAATTTCCATCTACAAAACCCTTCAACAACATATAAACAATGTTGTTGCTCCAGATCATGTTTATACTATAGATTTAGCTAAATTATACACTATATGACACATTCAATTCCAGTTTTCTTTAAAATTTCGGTATCTTACTTTGTCCTTTCTTTATTTTTCAGAGACCAACACTTCCACATCTTCAGGTAACTATTTAGACTTTTGGTGCTAAATTTATATTTAATGGTTCAAACATGCAGTTTTACAAGTACTAGTTGTGTGTATATATTCAAATTTGTATAGGTAATCGCATGGGGACGAATAAAATTAAGGTTTAATTTCAAGCGCGTTTTCAAACAGAGTCGCGAAACGACGAGGGAAATTTGTAAAAATTAAAAACACAAGTAAAATTAAACCTTAATTTTACGAGGAACTATGCGATTACTTGTTAATCACACTTGTTAATCAATCGTAAGTTAATTGTGAACTTCGGTCAAGACTCAAGTTCTTGAATCTCGTATATGTCTCCATATTGTTTTCGCCGATGTTTCTTAATGCTACCCTGCCTGTCCATTTCTTAAATACTCCAACCAATAAATTTGTACTTTTTCTAGTGTTCAAGTTTTCACTATAGAAGTTTTTAATTCTTCAATAACATCATTATCCGCGACGACAAAGCGAGAAGCCATTGTTTTTATTGCCATTTAATTAAAACAAGAAATTTCCCGCGCTTGCGTCTCAGCCAATCACGTACAAGTAATTTTGCCCTGAATTAAGAAAAAATGCCCTCCTCATTAGCCAATCATATTTGAGTAATTTTGCCCTTTATATGATAATATTTGAAATTATTTATGGTGTAAACTTAATTTGCCCCTTAACTTAATTTTTCAGAGACCATTATTTCTCCTTCCCCTTCTTCTTTCCCTTCCTCTTCCACCACCTCAGGTAACTATTTAAACTTTTACTGGTTTACTCTAATTGTGTATATAGATTCAAATATTCTTTGAAATTGCTTATGGTGTATCTTAACTTGTCCTTTAACTCTCATTTTCAGAGACCATCATTTCTCCTTCTCCTTCCTCTTCCACCACGTCAGGTAACTATTTAAAATTTTACTGGTTTACTTTAGTTGTGTATGTAGATTCAAATATTCTTTGAAATTGCTTATGGTGTATTATAACTTGTCCTTTAACTCTATTTTTCAGAGATGATCATTTCTCCTTCTCCTTCCCCTTTCCCTCCCTCTTCCACCACCTCAGGTAACTATTTAAACTTTTACTGGTTTACGCTAGTTGTGTATATAGATTCAAATATTCTTTGAAATTGCTTATGGTGTATTATAACTTGTCCTTTAACTCTATTTTTCAGAGACCATCATTTCTCCTTCTCCTTCCCCTTTCCCTCCCTCTTCCACCACCTCAGGTAACTATTTAAACTTTTACTGGTTTACTCTAATTGTGTATATAGATTCAAATATTCTTTGAAATTGCTTATGGTGTATCTTAATTCGTCCTTTAACTCTATTTTCAGAGACCATCATTTCTCCTTCCGCTTCCTCTTCCACCACCTCAGGTAACTATTTAAAATTTTACTGGTTTACTTTAGTTGTGTATATAGATTCAAATATTCTTTGAAATTGCTTATGGTGTATTATAACTTGTCCTTTAACTCTATTTTTCAGAGATGATCATTTCTCCTTCTCCTTCTCCTTCCGCTTCCTCTTCCACCACCTCAGGTAACTATTTAAAATTTTACTGGTTTACTTTAGTTGTGTATATAGATTCAAATATTCTTTGAAATTGCTTATGGTGTATTATAACTTGTCCTTTAACTCTATTTTTCAGAGACCATCATTTTTCCTTCTCCTTCCCCTTTCCCTCCCTCTTCCACCACCTCAGGTAACTATTTAAACTTTTACTGGTTTACTCTAATTGTGTATATAGATTCAAATATTCTTTGAAATTGCTTATGGTGTATCTTAATTCGTCCTTTAACTCTATTTTCAGAGACCATCATTTCTCCTTCCGCTTCCTCTTCCACCACGTCAGGTAACTATTTAAAATTTTACTGGTTTACTTTAGTTGTGTATATAGATTCAAATATTCTTTGAAATTGCTTATGGTGTATCTTAATTCGTCCTTTAACTCTATTTTCAGAGACCATCATTTCTCCTTCCGCTTCCTCTTCCACCACCTCAGGTAACTATTTAAACTTTTACTGGCTTAATCTAGTTGTGTATATAGATTCAAATATTCTTTGAAATTGCTTATGGTGTATTATAACTTGTCCTTTAACTCTATTTTTCAGAGATGATCATTTCTCCTTCTCCTTCCCCTTTCCCTCCCTCTTCCACCACCTCAGGTAACTATTTAAACTTTTACTGGTTTACTCTAGTTGTGTATATAGATTCAAATATTCTTTGAAATTGCTTATGGTGTATCTTAACTTGTCCTTTAACTCTATTTTTTAGAGACTATCATTTCTCCTTCTCCTTTCCCTCCCTCTTCCACCAAATCAGGTAACTATTTAAATTTTTACTGGTTTACTCTAGTTGTGTATATAGATTCAAATATTCTTTGAAATTGCTTATGGTGTATTATAACTTGTCCTTTAACTCTATTTTTCAGAGATGATCATTTCTCCTTCTCCTTCCCCTTTCCCTCCCTCTTCCACCACCTCAGGTAACTATTTAAACTTTTACTGGTTTACTCTAGTTGTGTATATAGATTCAAATATTCTTTGAAATTGCTTATGGTGTATCTTAACTTGTCCTTTAACTCTCATTTTCAGAGACCATCATTTCTCCTTCTCCTTCCTCTTCCACCACCTCAGGTAACTATTTAAACTTTTGCTGGTTTACTTTAGTTGTGTATATAGATTCAAATTTTCATTGAAATTGTTTGTGGTGTATCTTAATTTGTCTTTTTCCCCCCACCTCCCCAATTTTGGAAAACCATGGAAATTCGGGCAAATGCTAGAAAAAATCAAGAAAATTCGGGCAGATTTATCAGAAAATATAGGTTAAATTCAGGTAATTTCATTACAATCCACAAAATTCGGGCAAACTTTCAACTGCCCCCCTTCCCCCGGAAAGCATCAGCCCCATACTCCTATGTACGGACGCCACGCGATAACAACTTATAGAATATCTATTCCTAAAGGCGCGAGACATCACGCAGAAAATGTTAAAACTTACACTGTAAATTTCAAGGATTTTATATAACGAACTCCAGGGGCCGCTTGTTCAAAAGCCGGTTAGCCTAACCCTAGGTTAACACAAATCTACAAATTAAATTTTGCAACGGCTCATCAATCAAGTTGAATATGTTTTTCCAAATCTTTTCTGGTTCAATAGAGGTTTTATTTCCTAAAGTTCTGAAACGAATGATCATGCAGAAAAACGTAAACAAAAACAACAGGTTAATTAAAATTTAGGTGGACTTGAATAACTTAGTTCTTGCACTTCACTTGGTGGAATTAATATTAAGATGTTAGGGTTTGTAATCCAAGTGAGAACATATACATTTTAAGACCTAACCAGGAACGACTGCGAAAAATGCAGCACAAGGTCCTCTGGTAGGAATCAAACCTACGGCCCTGCGATTCCGGAGCAGCGCTCTAACCAACTGAGCTACAGAGGCCAGCTGTTGAGCTGTAACCGTAAGTTCATGTATATATAGGTAATCGGGTGAATATACATGAACTTACGGTTACAGTTCAACAGCTGGCCTCTGTAGCTCAGTTGGTTAGAGCGCTGCTCCGGAATCGCAGGGCCGTAGGTTCGATTCCTACCAGAGGACCTTGTGCTGCATTTTTCGCAGTCGTTCCCGGTTAGGTCTTAAAATGTATATGTTCTCACTTGGATTACAAACCCTAACATCCTAATAATTAAAATTTAACCCAAGGTTAGCACTAATCAGACTTTGAACAACCGGCCCCAGAAGTGTTATTCTGTCAACGTACAAAAAACGGTCAGAGAATAATGCTTTTAGAGTTGATTTAATTCCTTGAAATTTACAGTGTAGTGTCGACCTGAAGCGCCATTTGATGCACTTTGCAGGACAGTTTTAGATTCTAATGCATGGTGAAAGAAACGATATTAATAGAAGGTGCACATTTGCAATTGCTTACTGGCGAATACTACTTATACTGTAGCTACTTTATACATTCATGTTTGGGAGCACTGAAAGCTAAATCCCCAAAGTATAGTATCGGGGCCCCCGACTCCCTGAGATACATCTCTGATCTCTCAAAATGTTCTTTTCATGCAGTTTCTCGTAGAGCTGCGCCTGCTGCCCCTGAAGATGATCGAGTTAAAACGAAAACACTCAGTAAGTTTGCAATGTATACTATTTGTACACCATATAGTTATGACCGTTTTAAGGGATGATGCATGTACTATGGTTAATGATTAATATAGGGGTTATATGTACTGAGATACCCCAACGTCACAAGCAACCACCTGGCGACAACTGACAATTACTCGAGTTGACCAGGTTAACAGCGTTGGCCTTCCAACCGAGAACCAGGCCCGCTTTGTTCCCACGTATCGCGGGAAAATGGTGATGTTCCATTGATCATATTTGTCCACACGGCGTACTTTCTTTCATTTACCATTTTCATCGTTTACAATTCGGGGGGGGGGGGAGTATACATTATTACTTAGCGACGTTCGGCCAACGTAATTGTCGACGTAATTAAACAATCAAAACTGATTTTCTATTTTACTTTATCCAAATTTAGAGGAACAATAATTTTTTGCTTATGAAATTATTACCTTGAAGCACTTGATATTTATATGCTTGCCCGCCTCAGAATTCTCCCTAGCTTTATTTTGAAAAGGACTTTGCGACAATTTGGATATTATATGTCGCCCCCCCCCCCCAGCAACAATTTAAGCTGATTTGTCGCCTATCCCCTATCCCCTAATAAATTCATTTTGGGACTGGGTGATCACGGTCATCTCAATTCACTTTTAGACAAAGTAAAGGTTGGATTGTTCACAGGAATAATTTTTGTTGCTGTGTTATTATTCACAGGAACGATAATTATAATTGTATCTGTAAGTAGTTAATACTATAAAGATAGAGTAAATGTAGTATAATAGGTGCCAACCGTAACCCTAGGGAGGACGCGCGCGGCCGAGAGACCCTGGGGACGAGCAGGGTGACAACATATACTACAATTAAAAAATCCTCAGTCGGTATCACCCATCGGAGCTTTTGCTTGAACCGCATGTGGATGAATTTGCATGACAGTCTAAATCAGGGCGATACAATTTATATTGTTTTCCCTGAGTTATAGAGTATTTAATATCTTATTTTACTGAAAACCATTAATAATTCATGAGGAAAATACAAAAGAAATGAATGTTTAATCAATGTTTGTAAATCGGATAAAGATTTGTCCTGATTTACATAAACTTCAGTCTTCAGCTTTGATTTTCTCGGCTTAGACAAGGTTTATTTTAAAAATTACTTTGTCAATGAATTCATAAGGTGGGTCGTTTTTGAAGCACGTTAAAACATTCGCATCCGATCTTTATCTGATATACAAACTCTCGTCTTCGGCTCGAGTTTATATATCAGATAAAGATCGGCTGCTGATGTTTTAACTAGTACGTAGAAAGGTTTATGGATGGAAATTGCAAGTGTGAATTTTATTATGATTTTAGAACAAAACCAGTTATATCTTACACATTATATACACTCATACTTTGACTGCATGCAGCAGCCCAATCTCAGGGTGTTTGGAACTGTAGCCCTCTTGAACATATGTCATTTGGAATTGTGTAATTAACGAACATAATTTCTCTACATATTAATAACTATAGCTAATATTTTATATATATATATATATATATATATATATATATATATATATATATATATATATATATATATATATATATATTATATATTATATATATATATATATATA